TAATTTGAAACTGAATTATGGAGAGTTTGTAATGAATAGAATCTCCAGTATTTAAGTGATCGTTATTTGAGTTATTAATTATCAAATAACAAGTTTCTTAAACATCTTGTATAATTTGTTGATGAATAGAGAGAAAAAGCTGAACTTGCATTGGGATAATTAGCAGGCAAAGAAGCAACTATTAATGAATTGTAAAATAAATATGCACAATTATAAATGATGTTTTAATAATTGTCTCATAATAAAGATGATGGATAAACTAAGTTGAATAAAAATGAAAGTGTTAAAAGATAAAAAGAATTATATATGGAAAATGTGAGATTGAAAAATGAAATTGAAAGAATTTAAGATAAATTAAAATAAATTGAAAATCAAACAAATGTTTAAAAATTATAAGAATAATATTAAGAATTAGCAAGAAAATCAAGTGAAAAAATTAATGAACTCTTAAATGAAAATTAAATTAAAGAAAAATAATTATAAAAACTTAATCTCCATTATTAAAATATTAAATCTCAATATAATAAATTAGAAAATGAATCAAAAGCATATTAAACTGTATTTGAAGCTAATAAATTACATCTTGATAGATTGATTAAAGAAAATGAAATACATACAAATTTAATGAATAGATATAGAGAAATAGCTTGTATGTAAAGAGAAGATTTTGAAGTGAGAATCATGTATTATAAAGAAGAATTAAGTGTAGCATCTAAAGCAAAAGATAAATTAATGCAATTATAATCAAAATTAGATAGATTTTAAATTGAAAAATCAAAAGATATAGAACCACTTCCAAATAATAATTATGAAAAAGAGAAAACAGGTTTAGAAAAATTTAATGATTTATTTAGTAATGATAAAACTTATCAACGTTTAACATATTAAGCTTTACAAGAAGAAAAAGGAAGAATTGTTACTAGAGTAGGACATTCAATTGTTACTATGGAATAACATTTTAATGCATAAGAAATATAATTGGAGAAATTCACAATTGGATATTGTCCATTCATAAATTTAGTTGAACATCATAAAAAAACTTTAGAATAAGAATTTAGTGGATTATAATACAAAAGACCAAATTTATAATTATTAGTTACATTAAGAGTTATTCTTGATAGTAAATGGAATGAAATGTAAATTAAACCAGAGAAAATGTGGACTCATTTACCTGAATTTGCATATTCTCATTTGATGAATTTTAAAGTAGATATGTAAACTAAATCAATAAAAAAAATAGATTAAGATGTTCATCGTATAGATGATCAAATAATCAAATTTATTGTAGATTTTAGTAATCCTGTATTTGAAAAGAATTGGGAATGTATTACATTTTAAGAATTTTTAAATGATTTTACAAGTTAAGATGAAATCTATTTCTATTTATATGCTCGTAATCTTTTATTTCGTGGACCTGAATGTTCACATAGTACAGCATTTTATGAACCACATCATTATATTCCATTATTATAAGCTGAATTTGTAGCTACTCATTTACTATCACAATATGAAACTGCAACACTCTAATAAGTCAAGAAAGTCTTAAGAGAAAAAGCAGTTAATAAAACTATTACTAAAAACTTATTTATAGTAGATGCTTCTTTTGTTTTGAGAATATTACTTGAATTTTATAGAGTAGAACGTAGAAATAGATATAAAATGTTCAAAATAGCATTTGGTAGTAGAGCTACAAATATAAGTTTCAAATAATTTAGAGTTGTTTTAATTAGCAATTATCCTTATATTACAGATCTTGAATTAGCAACTCTATATAGAGAGGCATATTCTTTTACTGGTACTGGAGTATCAATTGATTCCTTTTATACTGTAGCTTCTGAAACTGGATTTTTCGTAAAACATCTTAAATTACAAAATCTTACTACTCAACCTAAAATTGTTAATAAAGAATTCGTTTTTGAACCTGATACTCAACCTTTCCTTATAGTTAATGAAGCATACAAGAGAGTAAATTATAAGTATATTATTATAGTTTTAAGCATATTAAAATAAATTTGAATAAATATTAATTGATTTTGGTTTGGAGGAACTATTTGCATAATTTAAAGAATTAGATAATTTAATTTAATAGAAATTTGCACCTCTTTAACATAATTAAAAATCTTTATCATAGATTATTGAAAGTTATATGAGTGTATTTAGAAATATTAATAATTTAATATGTAATAGACTATACCTTTAGGATTAGTAAATTATATTATATATTTATAGGATTCAATAAGGGTAAGAGTTTCTAACAAAGCATGAAGAGAAAATGAAACTTAATAAAGAGTAGAATAAAGATGCTTAATTTTATTCTGGTGATAATTTTAATAAACAATATTTAAGAAGAGAAGATTTTATTCCTGATATAGAAATATTGAAAGGATAGATGGATTGTTTAGAACATTTAGGATCTTATTTAGAATCTTATGAATTAGTAAAGAAGAGGAGAGATTATTGTATGACAATTTAAGCAAAGAAAATTTAGAAGTTTGTTAAGAAAAAAATGAATAAATTTTATAGTTTTGTAAGTTCTTTGTTAAGTGCCAAATTCAAAGCTTCACTAAAATAAGGGAAATGATTATAAAATAGTTTTCATTTATAATAATTATTATTATTATTATATAATTATTGATATTAATAAAATATAAGAATTTATAAAATCATTAAAAATTACTAAAATTATGTTTAAATTTAAGAAACATTTATTCTTAAACTATTTAATGGTCTGTTTCATCACATTTCAAATATGGATGACTTAATGCTTATTTAATATTAATTCTATATTAAGTATTATTCACAAGACCTTTCAAAAAATTTGTACCATGACCTGGAATAAGAGGATAAATTCCTTAATCAATATTAATTGATTAATCATCAAAATTATATAAATATAGCATAACTTTATGTAATCCATACATATCAGTTGTATCTGGCTTTTCCTCAATTTTTGCTTTACTAAATCCAATCAATTTTATTTAATGATTATTACTTTACATCAAATTTTAGGGTCTAATCTATCCATGAACAATATTATTTTATTATAATGTTTCCAATATTATAAGAATTTCCTAATTCCATAATTTTTTAATACCTTGATTACAATTTGATTTTCTTCATGAGTGTAATCCTACTCTAATTTACGATCCAAATATTCTAAGATAATATAAAAATAGTTTGAAGATTCATAAACTTCTATAATATCAACAACATTTTTGTAATTCTTAAGTTTGTTAAGAATTCTAACCTCTTAGAGAAATTAATATTCTTTTTGTTTCTTATATGCTTTACAAAAATACTTTTCTCCGGTTATAACTGATTTTACAATAACATGCTTGAGTAATATATTTAATTTACAGTCTTAAGATCACTTTTTGACATTGTTTCCAATTCTTCATAGATTTCTGATGCTCCTAAATACATCACTTGAGAATTGAGGTAATCTTTAAGTTGTGATAAACATTTTGAAGAAGATTAAAGAGTGTAATTCTCAATCTAACATTATTCAAGTACTTTATTCCTATAATACCATTGTAAATGTAGATTTAATGAAATGTGAAATTTAAGTTCTTCATTTTAGATTTTAATGAATATTGATTGTTCATTACAATTCAAATGAGCTGGTTTAGAATTAAATAAACAATCAAATTCTAAGGATTTTTGCATGATTATATTTATAATATATCTAGATTTAAATTTTGAAAAGTTTATATAAGAACATCCAGACTATTGACATTTTAAGAAATTAATTTAATAACATTAATTTTAATTAATATTTAAAGAAAATCATTTAATTTTTTAATAGTAGGAACTCTTTGTGTATTAACTTATCGCTTCTGTAACACCAGTAATTAACTTTGGATTTTATGTAAATTTCATAGGTATATTAGTTTCACCAAAAATACTTTATATGTATTCATGTTGCATTGCATCTTCAAAAGTAAATCTGTAATCTAGATTTGGATTCAACAATCCAATTATAAATTCGTTTCCTTTATCTGGAATATAAGGTAATGAATTATAAGAATCCTTAAAACCATACCTATAATCATTTAATAACAATATTACAATTATATCATAATTTAACCTATGTTTCCAAGATAATTGTCAAGATCAATATCTTTAGAACGAGAAGCATGGCAAAAACTGATAAGTTTTATATTACCTCTCTTGTCCATCATGAGATCAGACAATTTGAATTTGGAATATTGTATTTAATTGTCAATTAATATTTTAATAGTTTTGAGTAAATCCTAAAAATATCTGAAGGAAATACTAAAGTGATTATTTGAATTTCTTCATGAATTAAATCTACATTTAAATGATGATCCATCAATTCCATTACTATATAAATGTGAGCTTTTGATTCATAAACTTCATATAATTTTGGAAAATATTTGTGTTGTTACAGTTTGTACAAAATAATAATTGATTAATATAATTGTTCTTAATTGTAAGCATCCTTTTTTAAAGATCTACAACATAATTTCACCTTTGTAAATCTATCTTCAACTTTACAGATCTTAAATTTTTTAATTAAAATTACTTTACAATTCTTTTTATCAGACAGCAACTCTATGGTTTCATAATAATTCTAAATTCCCAAATATGATACTCTTCCATCAAGATGTTATTTCAATTGATTTAAATCTTCCTAATTTGCTTTTATCATTAAATCTTCTATATGAACAGCTTGAATTCCAGAAAGAGATATCTCCCATCTCATTTTTATTTTTAGATGGATATCAATTTTGAAGATTAAATTATGTCTAGTAATTTCAATTCTTTCATCATATAGTGTTAAATTATGCTAAACATTTAAAATCCAACAAGGAAATTGTAAGATTGTTAGCATATAAATTAGTATTTAATAATTATACTGCATTTTAAATTATGCAAAACAACTAATATGATTGGTAGAAATACAATTTTAGTATTGATTCCTCATCCAATATTATATATATAATAATTTTATATTTTCATAAACATATTTACTACATTCAAAAGATTTCGTCAAGATTTATTTTTTAACACTTTTGTTTTGTTTTTTTTACTTTTCTAAATAAATACACTTTATCTCCAAAAACTACTTTGATATTATTATCAAAATGAACATTCTTTTCTGTAATATCTTTAACTTATATTTCTGGATTAAATGCCAGTTTTAAACAAGGCTTTTTAGAAGTCATAGCTGAATAATTTGAATAGCTAGTTGGATTTGTACTATCTGGAGTTTTATTTGAAACATAAAAACTATCATCTCCTTTATCCATAAGAAGGATTTATTACGTACGTAATAACAAGGCTTTGGGTTCAACATGAGAATGAATTTCAAGAATTGATTGTTCATTCTAAATGATTAACTCATCGAAATCAAAGGTTATTTCATCTTCATTGATAACTTTTGTTTGAGCTGCACAACCCATTATGATTAATATTAATTCTTTTCTATATGAGTTATTTTTTAATAAAAACTTAAAAAATGATAATTTAGAGGATCAATAATTACTCTAATTTTCACTCTATTACATGTAAAATTAAATTATAGGATAGAGGCATACTATTTTTTAAAGAAAAAAAATAATTTGATTATTCCATTTTTTTTATTTATTATTCTTTGAATATTCTCCTTTCAGTAATTAATTATTTCAGATTTAAATAACATCATCATTATTTACATTTATACTAAGACATACTTATAAGTATTAAAATAACAATATAATATATGAAAACAACTAATCGTATATTTTTAATTATGATGATGAAAATATTCTTTACAAAATCAATATTATTAACCAATTATATATAGTATAGACTCTAATTCCAATTTGATCTTATTTAATTTATCTTTTTGAATGAATCTAATTACTATAGATTATATTGATATATACAAAAATGAGTGTCATGAATTAAAATTGATATTTATATATCTAATTTTATAATAAGATTAGTATCTTTGATCTATTTTAGCAGAACTTCTAATTAAGTTTATTGAGTTTATTATATTATATCTCTTATTGAAATTTTAATTACTGATCAAATTATATTTCCTTAATTTTTGTGTATATAATTATTAATATAATTTAACGAAAATATATGCTCAAAAACCCAAAAATAAAGGAAACATTGACTTCTCGATTATAATAGTAGGAATGTTGCAAATTGTAAGGACATGAAAATAATCTGATATAATTTGTTTGCGCTTGTCATGAATGTCCATATCGTTATTAGAAAGCATGTGCACATTGTGTTATTAAATTACATGGGAAACATGTGGAAGATATGAAAGAAATAGAGGAATTTGATATAATTATTAATGAAAACAGTAAGAAAGCATAGAGTTTGATAAAGGAAAGTGAGGAACTATTTTTGTAATTGAAAAATCCATTTAGAAATTTCTTTGAATAATTGAAATTGCAATTAAATGATATGATTGATAGTGTTCAATAAAGATATTTGATATAAAATCAAGAGAGAGCATAATAACTAATAAGGAATGAATTGGATTTTATTAATTAATTCAATTAGAATGTAAATTCTAAACAGAATCGATATTTGAATGATCATTCTTTAAAATAGTATAGTAATTCATTAAGAACAGCATAAGAGAAATTAAGTAATGTTTTTTCATTGTTTGAATTGAAATAGTTATTAGAATCAAATTTGATTGTATTGATTGAAGATTTTGGTAAAAACAATGGAATCAGTTATATTAGTAATACAAGTAGAAACATTAGTTAGAGACATAGTAGTTGTCATAATATAATGACTCCAAGATCTGCATTAAATGTGTTTAATCACAATATTAGTGTGGCTAGATCTAAAAAAATTAGAAATTGATTAATTTATGAGTAAATAATCTAAATAATATCTCTCTACATCTGCACCTCATGTAGATATGTCACAATTATCAAGTGTGTCACCAAAAAAGGAATTTTATGATGCCACAAAGTAATTAGAAGCTGCAAGGAGAAGAATCAGTCTTCTTAGATTGGAAAATGAAATGAGGTATAGTTTTATCATGTTAAGTAAGGGAGAAGAAATTACAAATTCAATAATAAAAACAAGAACAATTAAATAAGATTAGGGAAGATCATGAACTGTTTAAAGAATATAAATAGGCTCATAAAGAGTAAGTGAATATGCAATTACAGAATCTAGTACATAGAACTAGGAGTATGAAGATGTAACAATCTTAAGATAAAAAACTAATTTAATAGAACTTTCATTAGATGAAGTAACAAGAAGTAAAGAATATTAAAGAACAATCTTAAAGAAATGAGTATATCATTCGATAGAACTTGGATTCAATAAAATAATAAAAGGCAGAATAAAAATAACAAGTTTAAACTCAAGTCTAACTAGCTTAATAAACTATACAAAACTTTCGAAAACAAAAATACCTTCGATTCATACAAGAACATCAATTTTCTAAATCTTAGCATTCTATGGAAGCAGATTTAAAATTACAGTAAATCGAAGAACTCAAGAAATAAGAAGCTTATCTACTGATTAAATTAGATGAAACAACAAATGTATTATACAATTATTATATTATAGTAAGTCAATAAACTCAATTAAAGTACTTTGATCAAATAATCTTAAACGACACCAAAGACTGCATCCTATTCTTGAGATATTATTATATTTTACAATCATTTATATATATTACTAATAAATTATAATTAACAAATGAGTGAAGATGATTAAGTAAACTATTATACACTATTAAAATATAGCATTTCGTTGAAGAAGACAATAGTGAAGATGATAAATTTGAAGAGAATCTTGAAAAACAATATGCTGTAATTCAGTTACATTATTATTATAGTTATACCCTAAAGCAAGTAATAAGAGACCTGAATCCAAACATGGAAGACCTGAAAGTTCCAAATTTTCGTATAAAAAATAAGAATAGCAAACAATAGAATAATAGCCTAAGCTATTAGAAGCCATACCTACTTCTCCAGCACTCAAGAAATTTAACTAATTAGTTTCATTTCATAAAATACAGATTGAATAATTCTGGAAGAATCATACAATCATGGCTTCTTAAACTGAATTCATAGGTTTTTTATTAGAATCAGGTATCAATTAATTACTAGATAAGGATTTCAATTTGAATAATATGAAATCAATTCAATTCTTAGTGATCTAACTAATGATCGTGGTGTTATCACTATAGAAAGTCTATGTAAGAAAGTACCTGCATGGCATTAAAATGAGAGTATTTCTTATATATTATTAATTATTTTAGATGCTATGTTAGAATTTATAAGGGAAAAAGCACTCAAATTGGCATAAGAATCTAAGAGAAAATTCTCTGCTCAAAAGAAACCTAAACCATAATCAGCTAGTACTAAAAGAAGTGGTTTTAATAAAGGGGAATCTAGACCTATAAGTGGCATTTCAAAAAAATATTAATCAGGCTTTAGTGATTTGAAAATGTAAATCTACAATTACAACATTTAGATCAAACATAAATGATAGACCATTGTAAAATAAATCTAAACATTATTTATAATTGGCTAAATAAAGGTAATAAGAAGAGGATCGACTTCTTTAATTAACAATTAATTAAGGAAAGAATGAATATGAATATGAAATGCTTATTAAAATGGGAGAAGCTAATGAATTATCATAAGAATTAGACAGCAAGATTACTTATAGAGCATATAAGACAGCATAAGGACATTTAAAGGTACATGTGTATGAATTGGAACATTTTTAAAGAGATCTTACATTGGAAGAGTTTTAAAGAGAATACAATATTCTTAGAAGTAAATATAATGAAAAAAAGAAATTGAAAATTTGGGAAGTACTTAGTGAAAAGAAGAAAAATCAAAAAAGTCTTTAACATTTTGGATCTTCTCAAAAAGAAGAAATAAAATAAAATGAAGTTGATGCTAAAGTTGCAAATAAAAAAGAAAGATAATAAGAATTAAAGAAAGTGCTTTTGGAAACAATGATGCTTTCAAATGTTTTAAAAGAGTAATTGGTGGTGTTGAATAGAAAGGGTATCAATGCAATTTTAAATCAAAGTGTAAAATTATGATATATAATATATTTGATTTGATACTCTATATTGATTAGTCATTACTCCTTAATTATTGTAAGTAATAAGTAAATCCAAACTGTTTGAATAATAATGTCTTCTAAAAGAGAAATAATTACAAAGCATAAAATTGAGAGTTCTTCCAGATCCTAAAAAAGGAAATTGGAATAGGCTATCCTTTAAATCAATAGTCATCAAACTATTACAAAGACATAATAAGCTTTGCCTTCAAAAGAAATTGAATTATATAATAATGTGAATGTGTAATATGTAATTAATGGAGCTGATTTTATTTGGAATCATCTTGAGAATATGCCTAAGAAATAGATAGATAATGTCTTTATCCCTCAAACTATAGCTGGAATGCAAAATGTATATTGCATAGTGAAGAAAAATATAATGCTGAGATAATTAGGAGAGAGTAATAAGAAGCTGATAGAATTTAAAAGAACTAAGAGAAACATCACTTATTTGAATAGAGAAAACTAAAAAATGAATAAATCTAATTTAAATTAGGAATGAAGAAGACTTATTAATCTGCTCCAATTACTAAATTCACAGAAGAACCTCTATTTTAAAGATTAAGTTAGCCTAAATAATCATTTATTCAATAATCTACTTATGATCTACCTGATTTTAGGGGATTACCAATAAAGAATCTCACTCATGTTGATAAATTCAAGAATCCAATTCTGATTAATCATTTCATAAGTTCAAATTTATTACCTAAATCTGTAAATAAGGAGAAATTTAAAAGTAAATTTGAAACATTCGATTAAAAACTTGAATAATTTCAAAATACAATTTAAATAGATGAAATGAATTTGGATAATGATTTCAAGGATCATGCTATGATAGAAATTGATCAATTTGAAAAGATGTTATCTACAATACCCTAAACTATGTATTCATAAGTAAAAGATAGAGAGAATTAATTATTATAATCAGTAGAAGGATTTAGATCAATAAGAAAGATAAAAAGAAGATCCAAATTATAGATACCTAATAGGTAATCAAATCAGAGATTAAATTTTAACAAAATAATGATTTTAATTAACAATAAATCAAAGGTGAACCTTCTTTATCACAGTATCATCAAATTAACATTCTTCCTATTTGATTTCTATATCAAATTCATCTTCAAATTATTTCCATAAATTTGACATACTAAGTTCCTTTTAAAACTTATTCTATTATAATATAAATTATTATTTTACTTTCTCTAAACCCAATAAAAATTTAGCTACTTATGTAGGAGTGAGTATACTTCTCATTTCATCAATGAAATTTTCTAAGGAATTTGTCTTTTGATAGAGATTCTCTTTGACAGTTTAAAATTTCTTTATGATACTTAGAATAATAAAACAAAAT